TCATTAAAAATAAGCAAGGCAGAGACCTCCGCCCCCCTATAGTGCTTATGTAATACTTGGACGACGCCTAATTACTGAATTAATTATGTTTTGTTATTCTTTATTATTCGTGGCAAACTGATGAATAAAGTCGCTTCATTACTACTATGCATTTTGAGCAACGCATTTTATTTCCAAACCTGTGAACCACTTGATATCTTCAATATCAAAGTTATTAATAGTAATTAAAAGACATTTTAAATTTATCATTATTTCCTAGTGGTAGCGATGTCCTTGCGAGAGATTCCAGTCCCAATCTTAAACCGGAAGATATAGGAGAGCCCTGCATGGAAGTAACCCTGAACGCCGGAGACCTCTTGTACTTTCCCAGAGGCACCATCCACGAAGGTAGGACCGACGAAGAAGCCCACTCGCTACACATAACAGTTTCCGTTTATCAACACAACTCGTACGCCGATTTATTGGAGCATGTCTTGCCAGCCGCTCTGAAAAAAGCAGCAGCAGAAGATCTGGAATTCAGGTGAGTTGCGAATAGGGTTGATAACCTCCTTTCAACTAAGCCGTTCTTCTGTTTTTTTGAGGTTATGTTCATGGTAATGTCATTGTAGCTGAGGTCATTCTTCTTCTTTTATCAATGACAGCCTTGGTTCTTGGGGCACTCTGGCCAAGCTCGGTAATATTTCGCTTTTTAGGAAAGGTCTACCGCTGAATTTCTTGAAGCACACAGGGCACGTCAACAGAAAAGCAAAATCTCAGAAAAGGTCGGCGATAAAGGCTAACGTACAGAAGTTGATGAAAAGCCTTTCGAAACACGTGGATATCGATCAGGCAGCAGATCAGCTTGGTAGGAAGTTCATGTACGATTCCTTGCCCCCTGTACTCTCCAAACAGGAAGTAAACTATACTTCCAAGTACGACGGGGATTTTATGAAAGACGGAAAGGTGTTTAACAGGTGAGAGTCTGCGGTTATCAAGTTAGTTTGAAATGCAGGAGTTATACTTTGCAGGGTCGAAATAGGCATGGATACGGAGGTCAGACTTGTCAGGTACCATTGCCTTCGCTTGGTGATGGAGGGTGACATTCCGAAGATCTACTACAACACGGAAAACGCCAAGGTGTACCACGGGGAGGAAGAACAGGTCCTGACGATAGATCGCAATATGATACCCTGCGTGAAGAAGCTGCAGAATAGTTACCCAAAGTTCATTCAAGTGGAAGATTTGCTCGGGGAAGATTCTCTGGCCAAAGCACAGTTAGTTTCTGATTTCTGGGAACGGGGGCTTCTGGTTACCAACGGGCCTCTACTTTCTGTGTCTGAAGAGGAAAATGAAGAGGCAGACAAGATGAGTGAGAGTAGTTTGTCAGATTATAGTTTTGATTTGTAAATAAATATATGCGCTCATAGGTCTTGTTGAGTTATTTATCGGAGGGAGAGGGAGTTTTTTCTTGCAAGTGATTTTTGAAAGTAGATCTGAGTGGATAGGTTTTTGGAGGAGTATACTGCTGTCTTCAAAGTTGCTTTGGAGAAAGTTTTCACAAAAAATCGTAGAACTATCTAGTATTTTTCTTGAATAGTTGTACAATAAATTATTGAAATGTTTTTCTCATTACTGACAGTAAGGAGAAGATTTCAGAAATATCAACAATTGGTGTGTTTCAAATCAGAAGAGTTACAAATTTTGTTAAAATGACACATTGTGCTGATTATTTCATAAGGACACTGGTTAAAGACAAAGTTTTTAATCATCTGCAAAATCAACGTCCTAGTATCTAAAACGTCTACCAAATCATTCACAAAAATATTACTAGAGTTTCATCCTAACACCAAACCGTTATTTTAATATCTAGACACGTGTTTCGACCACCAACAAGTAAACATGCTTCTGGGATAGATGATATATGTGGAAAAGCTGTAAGGTTTGTCAAGGAAACGATAGGTTTGCCTTTAGCTCACATAATCAATGAATCTTTTTTGTCAGGACAGTACCCATTGATTCTAAAGGTCTCTAAATCTATACCAATTTTCAAAAACAAAGTAAATATACATTGTCACTAATTTTCGATAATATATAATTGATATACATACCATTTTCTTTAACTCAAAGATATATTAGTGCAATTGACCTATTTTCTTTAGGTTATGTTGACATACTATCTTCTCTCTTGCTTCTTAGTTTATTGGCCTCAGCTTTCTGTCGGTACTATACGACCTTGACATATACTAAGGGAACTTTGTCCAAGGGTGCAGGAGTCTTCCTTTACACAATATGTAACGACCTTGACATATACTAAGGGAACTTTGTCCAGAGGTGCAGGAGTCTTCCTTTACACAATATGTACTCCTTATTGATACTATACTTCTTAATTTCACTGTTTCACTACACAAATAGTTATTGTATGCTTGCACGTGCTATGGCGATCATAATAACCGACACGGGTCCTATGTCCTATGTTGACATTCTTTCACAACATACTTCAGGTTATGTTTCTGTTGCTTCTAATTTTTCCTATTTTAGCCTAAACTTCACGACTATCCAGCCAAAGTTGATACTAGCGCTAGAACTAAGGGAAATAAATGAAATTTCGTTCTATACGAATTAGATAAAGAAAAAACCATTTATGAAGGAACTATATGCAATTCACTGATTGGCGGTTCCACATGTTAGTCAACGGTTAGCAAACCTACTTAGCTCAGTCTAGATACACTTTATTGGAGAAAATGACGCAACAGCAGTTCAAAACTATAAATAGGTTATACATTGCAAAAGTATAAATATCATTGAAGTTGCAGAGTTAACTATGAAAAAAAAACTTTGGTAATCTACTTACCATTTGATCAAAAATCTTCTTGGTTTCCTTTGCGAAATCGATAGTTGTTTTTTTAAATAGTGCATATCTTATGAAAACGTTTTGTCCAGTCTAACGTATCAAGATAATAAAATCAGTGACACAAGTTATCACAATAATTTCAGTTAACCCAATAAAGGAAAATTCATCATCTAGATACGTCTATTGAGAATATTAGAAATGAGTCAAATGGTAAATCAGCTGTCTTTGTGATTTTTAATGCTTGGCGTTTGCGAAATTTATTTTTATATTTATTTCGACACACTACTGTCTTGAACTCATAATCAATCAACTCCAAAAAGAGTAAACTATCAAAACAAAAAAATAACGGAATGTTTCATTTTGAGCTGTACGAATTAGCTGCTTACCGTTTGAAGTCACCATTTGTTGAACACTCACAGTTTAATCTTCCTCTTGAAGATGATCACTTGGTGATCGAAACACGTGTCGAGGTGTTAAAAATAACGGTTTGGTGTTGAGACTGAACTCCAGTAATATTTATTTAAAATATGTTTATGTATACTCCATCACTAACCTGAATTTGTATGTTTACGGCTCGAATAATCTAACAAACTGATAACAGATTTCTACACATCTACTGCACATCTTGAAGAAGAGGCCATAACTCAGTATGGCAGCTGTAACTCTATTCGATATGGTCACCAGATTTATTTAATTCACTTCTCAGACAAGGAGACAGGAAACGAGACATTTCTACTTGAAGAAATAATTTCTTGATGACCTTTAAACTGAAAGCTATTTAATTGTTTTTGTATCACATCTGGAAATCCCCGTGCAGATGCCAATTATTCACAAAATAAATCAAATATCATACATCGTTCAACAAACGACCAATCTTATATTTACTAGTATTACTAATGAACATTTTTCTGTTTTATGTTCATAAACATAAATCATAAACATTTCTTGAACAATAATAATTTCTGGAATTCCCTCTAGATTATTTCTTGAGAAAAAAACCACACTGTATTACCAATGATCAGAGTTCACGACCTTGACTTGATCCACAAATAAATACTTTATAATAAACACACACTAGGTTGAAGGTTATCAGTTGATAACACCTCGGTGAAACATGGTAAGAATATTTAGAAAAAGATTTGATTTTTCGAAAATTATTCCAAACCGGAATATCTCCAGCTTGATTTCTGTCGTGGTAAATGATAGTTCAGGAATAGCGACTGTAAGTTTACAGAAACCACCTGTCAACACTCTAAACTCTGAAATTCTTGAAGAACTATCTGCTACAATTACCAACCTAGAAAAAGAAAAGGCCAGGGGTTTTATTCTTACGTCATCGAGGGATGGTTAGTATAGATTAATATATTTACAAATCACAAACCTAATGTTTTGTAGGAGTTTTCAGTGGCGGACTGGACTTGTTCGAAATTTATAAGCAGCATGATAAGGAAAGGATGAAGAGGTATTGGAACGTAGTAAGACAAACATGGATGAAACTGTCCACTACTTCGTATCCAACTGCGGCTGTGATAAACGGACATGCCCCAGCTGGGGGCTGCTTATTCTCGATAGCTTGCGAATACAGAGTTATGACTAAAAACTACCGGATAGGAGGAAACGAAACAGTAGTTGGTGAGATGTTGCCATTCGTTGAAATATAGCAGTTACATTCCATTCTGTCATTCATCAGAGTCTACTCAGAAACGTCATAATCCTTCAGAATATGACGCGTGGAAATGAAAATGTGACGGTTTTATCACAGTAGATATCTATACTACAGTTCTAGGTTACAGATCAAATACGTCATATCATTACATCATGATGATTAAATTGAAAAGGGTATATTTTCAGGGGAGATCAGTTTTCGGGAAAGAAAGATTTTGGCTTTCCACTTCTTCATCTTTTTACTGAAAAATGTGCCGAAACATGATATTGTTGTCGATGAAATTACGTCAGCTTTACGTATCTCATTGGTCACAAGATGTATATTAACAATTACGACAAAAAATGAACGTCAAAATGACGTCACCTTGTTTGCTGGAAAGGTTGTACCTCAAGATTTACTCTTTAGGTCCCCGTGACATTATTTTGGATTATATTAACCTCTGTAATCTTTTGTAGGGCTGGTAGCTCCAGTATGGTTCATGGAGCGAATGAGGGACCTCATCGGTTTCCGACAGACCGAAATGGCTTTCACCACCGGCCAGCTCTTCACTACGGAAGAAGCCCTGTCTCTTGGCCTGGTGGACGATATGGTGAACAACAAAGAAGAAGGAATCTCAAAAGCTGAAGCTTTTATCAAAAAATTCGATAAGATTCCTTCGCGTGCTAGGTCTCTGACGAAAAAGCTCGCTAAAAAAGAAATGTTGGGGAAGATGATCAGAGAAGAAGAACTAGACACGAAACATTTCGTGCACTATAATAGTAAACAGGAGACCCAGGAAATCATAGGGAACTATCTCAAAGGAATTAAGAGTAGATCTAAGGCGTAGCAGCGATATTTTTCAGAAGTACTTGTATTTGTCTTTCGAATGTTGGCGAATTGGAAAATAAAAACAGAGTCAATTTGATTTTTTTTGTTACAACTTTTACAAAATGTTTTACAACACTTTTGATATCAGTGGTACAAAAATACCGTGTGTCTTGATAAAAATTCAAAAATTATTTTATCAGACACAGCTGGGTGCTTTATGTACCATTGACCCAAGTATTGAAGCCATATTTTGCTATTGAAAGTGGGTTGAAAAGAGTTTTAACCTATAAATATACCGGATATGGTCGTACCTACCATAGAAGCATATAAAAAAAATATACATAAATAGTGGACGAGAAGAAAACTTCAAATTTGCAAGATACATATTTTAGTCACCACTTATTTCTGCACCATTAACCCTAATACTGAGGCTAGTCATATTTTTTATTAAAAGTAAGTTGAAATGAGATTCAACCCATAAAATACCAGCTAAGATGCTATGTATATTAACATATGCCACAAAGAGGATTTGAAGCTTTATAACTTTATATTATTATATGCGAGCACTTTCGACAGCTGGCCGTGCTATCATCTTCAAGGCTCTACTCTTCTTTGGTTATGATCTCCAAACGTTTCGACTGTAACTGCGACAGTCATCTTCAGGGGCGACAGTCATCTTCTTGACATGTCAACTGAAACTTCAGTTGACATGTCGAGAGGAGAATACTGCTGGGAATTAGTCGTATCGTGTCCTTGATCGAAACCATTTTGTACAAGGAGACCACATCGAAGGTCACTAGTAAGCCTCCAGGGTATAACTTAATATACCTTCTCAATAAAATGTCCCAAGTCTCTGATATGACTTTGTATTTCCTATAAACGGCTGCAATTTTAAATGGCTGTGGTTTATGAACCACCTATTTTCCTCTAAAAGGTATATTGTATTGTATTTTTTTTCCTAAATTTACCTGTCTCATCAGAATTAATCATTTATGTAATTAGGTTTTCTAATTATCCACTGTCGTTTCAAAGACATTGTAGAATAGTTTGTTTGACTAGTCCAACTAATAAAGCCACCGTGAAGCGAACGGCGTCTTAAATATAATTTCTATTGTGATAATCGTATAATTATTATCACAGATAATTTATATTCTTTTATTAATTTTTCCTCTTTTTGCGTTTCTAAAAGTCTTCTGCGCTGTTCTATAAATGTTCTTTTCGAATCACTCCGACCATTGTCGAAAACCTAAGGAAAACTCGTTAAGTAGTTTTTGAATTTATTGCATTTAGACAGGCAGATGGTGCAAGAAATTTGCTTAAATAATATGTAGTGATATGCACTGTGTTGATGAAAATATTTCTTATCGCAAGGACATCTGTTTTTCTTTTGTATCCGTTGTGTAAACATCAAAGTTCTTGAAATAATTCATTGTCTCTCAAAACGCGTTCCTGTTCAGTTCATTTATCGGCCAACAGAGGCGCACCATTATCTCACAATACTGATGCTTTTTTACAAATACAATTTAGATTTTACTCTTTCAAGATACTTTGTTGAGGTTTATATACAAGGCGATGCCTTTCAAGAAAGTTGCAGTGGTGAGTGACCTTTTTCGATTTCGTTGATTCGTTGTAACGTTATGTCCAGTGATATTCGATAATAATTGGACTAAGTTGCGCTCTAGTAAGTTTAATTGAAGATTATTCGGTTTATCGCATATTTGATAAGATTTAAGTAAATATTTAATTAAACATGAGAATGAAATAACTACACGGTATTAATATACACAGGGTTGGATTGAAGAATTTCCTGACTTTCCTTATTATTCAGATCAACAAACTAATTCTTTTCTCTTACCATATATATGATGGAATCGGCCGATACTTGATGAAAATCCATAATTAACGTATTCCATACCACACAAATTTCAATTGGTAAAGTCTTATTCATAAATCATATGATTTTCGTATCTTTCGTTATAGTAAGAACCTTTTTCAGGTTACTGGTAGCAACAAAGGACTTGGTTATGGCATTGTGAAGGGTCTCTGTGAAAAGTTTGATGGAGTTGTGTATTTAACATCGAGAAATGAAACAAGGGGAAAAGAAGCTGTGAAACAACTAGAATCACTCGGATTGAAGCCTCTGTATCACCAGCTAGATGTTACTGATCAGTCGAGTATCGATAATTTGAGAAAATATATCGAAATGACACACGGGGGCTTGGATTTGTTGATCAACAACGCTGGAGTGCGTCTCAAGGCAAGATTTTTTCAAAAATAAACATTGAATTGGCTCAAATATTATCGCTCTTTGTTAGGGAATGGTACCTTTTGAAAAACAAGCGGAGGAAACTAGCAAAGTGAATTACTTTGGTGTTCTTAATGTTTGTGAGGCTTTATTTCCTCTGCTCAGGAAAAACGCTAGGGTGGTGAATATTTCCAGTTCTTCTGGTCATTTGAGCAGAATTCCTGCAGAAAAACTCAGAACGCAGTTTAAAAATCCGGAACTTACGGTTGATCAGCTCAATAAGCTTATGAACAAGTTTCTGCAGTGAGTATGGTTTTTCATTCAATTGTTATTAAACATACACTCGAGTAAGAAACACTCTTGAATAATTTAAATCTATTCAATGTTTGCTCTAATATTTAGATTCATCCCAGAAACTACCATTCTCAGTAGTAATTCCCTTGAACAAATACGAAAGATCTTGGGTGCTGGCTGTAATACCAAAAGCCATCTCTTCTTTTTTAATGTACGGGCTTAGCTATTGGGAGTATCTAGCCAATCAACATCAATGACAGCATCAATGTATACAAAATTCATTGTGATATGGAGCCACAAAAACAAATGACATTAAAACGAACAAAACTCTTCAAACAACCTAGTATTATTATAAAATATTGAATTTTTAATTGACTAATAAAACCATAATCACTCGAGAAACTGAATAAAATATATATTTTTCAGTGATACAAAAGCGGGGACGCATATCCAAGAAGGCTGGGGAGAAATAACGTACGTCGTTTCCAAGGTAGGCCTATCCGCTTTGACATTCGTCCATCAAAGATTATTCGACGAAGAAATTCCCAAACGAAATATATCGATCAACGCTGTGCACCCGGGGTTTGTCAACACCGACATGGTGGATCATTTGGGTCCTCTGACGATCGAAGAAGGAGCGAGTGTAACTTTCGTAGCATCAAATAAAATTAAAATGAATAGATAAAAAATATCAATTGCATCGAGCAATAAAAATGTGAAATGAATTTACAATAAAAATAAGTAAAAAATTAAAAATTGAACAATGACAAACGAAATTTAAAACAGTTAAAAACATTTTATAAAAGGTTTCAATCCAAACACTTTCACCTATCCCCTCTTTCCTCTCACCGGTTTAGCGGGAGTTGACCGTTCTTCCACTTGATCATAAGTTTCCGTCAGGGATGCTACTGGCTATACAATTGTACGAATTGCTATACAATTCAATATATTTTCATACATGCATACCACATTGACGAAAAGCATACATTTTGACTTCATTTGGTTTTGCATCATGTCATTGATTCGAACGAGGCCACGGTTATATATTTACAAATTTCAATCACTTTGTCCCGAAGGACGACTATCGACATAGTCGAATAATTGTCTATCTCTGTCTTCCGTCTCATTATGATAGGCGTGTCCGTCTGTCATAGAATTCATAGAGCACGATCACAGAGCACTCAATTTTAAGATCAGTCAAATGTCAAATCTGTCGTTGTCGTTGGACAACATAAATGCATCTTCTTTGAACTTCATCTTAAACTAGTGTATTTCCCTGTGGATGTGATGAGTCCAAACATGCTCTGCTATTCCCAAACGTGACATTTTTCACCACAAAAAGAAAAGTTAATAGATTACCAAAAAATTGTTTGAATTGCCAAAATAAATATTTTGAGGAAAAATTTAGTAACCCTGCTCCAAAGTGCGTATATTGAAACACTGTTTAGGTAGTCCTTTAGAAATCCCATTTTCGAAAAATGGCGAAAACGTGTTTAACAAGTTACAAAAGAAGAGGAAATGTGGAAATTAGACCGCTCAGTTGAGAGTGATCTAATTGTGATCACCTTCATATGGTTTCTTTCCTGATAGATAAAAGCTACATTTTTTTTATATGAAAAATTGTTTAAAACTTAGTATATTGTGTAGCAATCCTATGAATGATACCTGAATCAATTCCATAACGAACGTTTGGAGTACAAACCGAATAGGAATAAGTGTTTTTTTGTATTATTCAATGTTTATGTGAAAGTATTTTTCTTTCTTATAATTCAATGTTCATAGTAAATTAGCTGTTTTGAAGGGGCTTTTCTTACAGTTTGTGTGAAAGTTAATTTTTTGCATCTATGTATAGAGTTCACTTTAAAACTAATAGTTGATAATGGGTTTACACTGTTGCAATTCATTTATATTACTTTTTTGATATTCACCAAATTCTGCTACCAATTTACGTCAACTGTTTTGAACGACAAAATTATTAATTAGGATAATTTATTGATGAACAGCATACCTTCAAAAGAAAAATACTTGACTCATCAGTACACTTATATAAGAAGGAAGATGAAAAGTCCCAGGAAATGTTGATAAAAAATCTTATATTATTTTCACTAAATGAAGATCCATATTTTCACAAATGTATCGATAAAGTGTATATACAATGACTCTCATCCAATTTACGCAAAATGCTAGTTACTTGAGAGACGTCAGATCAGCAATTGAACGTTTTCTTGAACATACTTGCCGAGCTTTCATGTTTTCTTCAGGACCTAGAAATAAATAAAGAACAGTAAGTAGAATATTAAAACAAAATAAGTAGAGTAATAAACAAAATAACTAGTATAGCAAACAAAACAACTAATATAATAAACAAAATAAGTAGCGGCATATGGCTTTCAGGTTAAACAATTACAAAAGATTCATTATTCACCTTAACTTTTCCGTAAGTCCCTAGTAAATCATCCTTTTCTTTCCTTCGTTTCCTATCAAAACTTTTTCCTTTCGCATTCGATTTACCTATGGCATTTTTACCTAGCTGCTGAAAGTGTTTCCGTTCCGCTTGCTTTTGTTTCTCGGTTTTTCTTTCCGCTTGCAAGAGCTTATAATTTTTATTTTTGTTTTTCGGTGGTTTAGCGCCTAGAAAGATAACATTTTGATTACTAATGTTGAATTCACGTTAACGGGGTAATAGTCACTGTGTAGCAGGAGCTGACCTAACCTAATTTTATGAGTAGATTTATCTTTTCAGCCTTCTTCGTTTGGGAATCGAATCCAGATGTACCAAATTTAATAACTTCTTGTTTAGCCTGCCTTATGTTGAACTCTTTACTTTCCTTTTCATCAACAGGTTCCTCATTGCCGGTTTTGGTAGCTTTTTTGGGATTTTTTGATTTATATGATTCGTAAAAGATTGCTTGGAATCCAGCTTCTGATTTCTTCTTTAGAGAAGACGCTTTAGAGGGGATGAACTTCAGAGGGCCTTCCATTTCCATCATTTTCAAAATAGCGTTCAAAACTCACTCATAACGATATTAAATATCATGTGCCACAGCCACAATATTTACCTTTTCACAGAACACATCAAACATTGAACATACGAATCAGAATCATATATTACAGAACAGACACCAGTGTTCTGTGAACGGTACGAAAGGACAAAATTGCTTGTTCCTCATTTGATTCTAGCTCTGATATCTAGAGCAATTTGCCAGTCTTCAGTGATCTTGTGGCATTCAAGATTCTCACTCATACACATGTACGATAGGTAAAATTTGTATCATGACAGATACCTATCTAATATATGCAATAAATATCATATGCAATGAAGTTGTGAATTCGCCTTACTTATATCATTTATAACTTAAGAATTGACGGATCATTTTTCATAATTTTTCTTAAAGTTCTTGAATAAACCATAGGGTTTCAGGCAGACCATAGAAATGCATGAACATGAAGTTCAGGCACTTCATAACACAAATACTTTTTCAATAAGTGAAGAATGGTCAGATACAAGAGCATTCGTCTATACGACATTTTAAATAAAAACTTAATAGGGCCATTTTCATTTTGCTTATCGCAGCAAGAGGTAGATCTTTCGTCCGTTGATAATGTCTGCTGCAGTAGCAGACGAAACGTCGGTCATAAAAACTTATAGATCACGGCTACTAAACCCGGAAACATCGGATAATATAAAGATTGTTGAAATAGTGTCGCTTATATGAAACGATATCATTCGTGTCTTATCGCATCATCAGCATCGTTTTGGATAACATTACAAGACAAAGTTACCATAGGAATTTTCTTCGAATGGAAAAGGTGATATACTCCCTTCTCAATTTAAAGTTGTGTTCAGTTATTCATTTATGCCAGATGAATAGTTGCTGTTTATAATGAATGTTAATGGAAACACAAACAGAATGATATTGGACATTTATCGGCAAAATATTGTATCCAGCATTATTACTTTTATATACTCGAGGTACACCCCTACATTGATAACACACCACATTTCAAATAATTTTATTCAATCATTTACTCTTCACATGTTCCCACTAAACAGTGCGTTCTACAAACCCTTTCATAGTAAAAAGATGAGTTTTTTCGTGTTCTAGTTCTATTCGGACTGCTGAAATCCACTTGGATGGTACCAAACTTGGCTCTGAAAGAAAAAAAGCAAATGAAAGGAACAGTTCAAGTTTGTCAGGCTTACGTAAATCCTGATGCCCACTCAAAATTGTCAAGTAAACTCCAAAGAGTGTATCCGATTACTTTGACGCCGTCTTTTTCCATAGCGTCTCTTATGTTACTCAAGTATTCCTGAAACAATTTTGACAATCATTGATTTCAGCCATGATGACTATTTATGATTGATTGAAAACTCTTTCAAATTGTTAATATTCATTCAAAATGTTGTATACCTTACCTTGATATAATTCTCTCTAACATCATCATCCAATTGTCCAGTACCATCTGCCCATCCGTTTTCTGTTATTAATATGTCCGGATTGAAATACTCATCTTTAAACCATTTCAGCAGCTTTCTTGTACCCCAGGGAACAAACTGTGGATTATATCAATTCGATTAGATTCTTAGGTAGGTATACACTCAGACAGATTCCAATTTTATATCAATCGGTTCAAATATTTCCATTCTGTAGATGAAAATTTGCATTGGTCCTGAAATGGTACCTTGGGGAGTATCGAAATTGAAGTGATGACAATTTGTAGACTGGAAGTGGTACTGATAGGGACTTGTT